ACTTGAAGAAAGACAATAACTACATCAACAAAGCAGACAGCAGAGATGACACTCAATCTCGAGACAAAGGCCACTTTCCTCGTCTTTACCGGCAGGAGTGGCGAGAACGACATCAAGTGGCGTGAATGGGACTTTACTCTCAGAGCCTACTTAGCAGCAAGAGAGATGGATGTGAAAGTCTATCTACCTACTAAGGATGAGGACGTCCCGCCGATGAAGATAGCGGTGCCACAGATGGATGGCAATAATCAGCCCGTGGTGAACCAGAAGGGACAGCCAATTCTGATTGAGCAGGAGAGCTCCAACGCCAAGAACCTCCGATGGCTGTTCGGCTTCCTCGCCCTGCAGACAGCAGACAAGGCCAAGCGACTGATTCAAGAAGCATACCAGAAGCACGGCGAGAATGGTGCATGGGCGTATCTAGAACTGCGGAAGCGGTTCATACCTGATCGTATCGTATGCAAGCACGAGCTCTTGCAGCGATTCTTCAGCTGGAAGATGATCAAGGACGATCTTGACGACGCCCTTGACGACTTCAGCTACCTCGTCAGCCGCCTTCATGAAATCGGATCAACAGTGCCAGACGAGACGATGATCGCCGTCATGCTATCGGCATTGCCTGAGAGATTCGACATGTTCAAGGCAACCATGGCGCATGAGTCAGCATCCCGCGCGTATCGTGGAGAAGCACTGACGTGGCCGCAATTTGAAGAAGCTCTTCGCAACGCGAATGACCGCATGAAACAGCTGCGAAGAGAGCAACGAGACCGTCAACATCAGCAGAGGGGCCGTCCATCCGAAAGACAACATGACCGTCAAGACCAGCGTAGTCAGCATGATGATAAGAGGAAGGGATGGACTGACAGACGACCTGACAAGAGATACAACAACACCAACAGGAACAATGGCAATGGATGGAGGAACCATCCGAGCAACATCAACAGACAGAGCAGCAATTACTGGCGACCTGCCTCATCCACTTATGCCCAATCCTCCCAGCGTACCTGGCACACTGGCGGACAGCAGCAGGGAGGAGGGCAGCAGCAGCAAACATGGCGCCCTACAGAACGACGAGATAAGGATGGCGACGTCATTATGAACAACACCCGAGCACGAGCCAACGAGAGACGGAACGACCGACGTTCCAATCGCCAATACGCCAACCAATTCGACGTCTACGAAAAGGAAAAACAACAGCAACAAGGAAATGAGGACTTTGCCACGATTGGAGCAGTCGAGATAGAAGAACTGGCTGATGAGGTGATGCATGTGAATGGTGTGTGTTCAACCTCACGTACGGCAATGATGATGGACACTGGAGCAGCGCGATCATGCTGTTTTGAGGAGCAGCTCTTCGACGAAATCAAGCCACTTGACCATGACATCAACGTCATCATAGCGAATGGATCAACCGCACCAGCAATGGGTGTCGGCTGCATCAAGTTTACCTGTGGAGAGATCAACAAAGGCAAGAAGAAGGTCATGGTGGACAACGTGCTGTATGTGCCCAAGCTCAAGTTCAACCTGCTTTCTCTTGCTCACCTTATCGACGATTACAACGTCAAGCTCGAGATTGATCATGGCGCTGCGTTCCTGAAGGCAAAGAGAGGAGATTGTACCCATTGATGCGTGAAGGGCGATTCTGATACCTCAACATCCACAAGGACCCGTCCGACTGCCCGAATGCGACCGATGAGCGAGTGGTTGACGTCATGGAGCAGCCGCACACACCATCGGTGGACGATGACAATGAAGAACCGACGGATGTGATGACAACAGACGTATTAGTCGCGGAAGTCGTCACACAAGAGCGATTGCATCAGCGATTTGCCCACGTCAATGATGGATACCTCAAGAAACTACCTGAAGTGACAAGACACGCACCAACGGCAAAGAAGGAGAACAACAGTGACGACGAGAAGGCCAAGTGTGAAGTGTGTTTGAAGGCCAAGATGAAGCGACTGCCGTATGCAGGAGATGCGTATCGACACCAACACCCTGGTGATCTCATCCACGTCGACCTGTCACAGATCAAGCAGCCAAGCGAGAGAGGATACAAGTATCTAATGGTGGTGGTCGACGATGCATCAAGGTGGCTGCAGACTTACTTCCTCAAGAAGAAATCGGATGCCCCTGCCGCATTCATCCAGTACTGCACTGCAGTCCGCATGTCTAAGGCAGTGAGGACAGATGGAGGGGCGGAGCTTATCAAGGGCCAGTGGAAAGAGTTCTGCGAGACAAATCAGATACGGCAAGAGAGGAGTTTGCCATATCATCAGTTCCAGAATGGAGTGGCTGAGCGAGCCATTGCTGTGATTTGTGCTATGGCGCGTGCACTGCTATTCACTGCCGGCTTACCCGCATCTTATTGGTGTTATGCGACGGCCACAGCGACGTACATTAAGAACCGCACGCCAACCGCAGCCAACGAGGGAATGAAGACACCACATGAGCTCTTCATCGGCTATCCACCCGATGTCGGCCACATCCGCACCTTCGGCTGCAAGGCACACATCAACCAGAGGAAAGAGACGGTTAGCAAGATGGACCCTCGCACGCAGATCGGCATCTTACTTGGGTATGACCCAACGACTAAGGACGGCTATCTGGTGTACCTGCCGCACACACGGCAATTGGTGCTGTCACGCGATGTGGTGTTTGACGAGGCGATACTGCCTGGACAAGAGAAGAAGCCACAAGCACCACCAGCAATCGATCTCATCTACCCACAACGACCCGAGACATCTGTGAGTGAGCCCCTACCAGCAATCGAAGACATACACGACGACAACAACGAATCACACCAGCATCAGGAGACAAATGATGCCCAAGATGACATGACGATCATTGAAGAGAATGGTAATGGTCAAGAGGGGGAGGAAGACACTGATGAGCAACAGACGAGAACGACAAGAACAACGGATGAGCGACGCATTCCTGGACGCGTCTATAAAGACCACTTCTTCGATCATCCTGACCTGCTCTTTGTAAATGAAGATGGCGAGATGACAGAAGACCCATCGAAAGACGACAAGACCGCAGATGACCCATCACTTTCACAACTCTTTCAGCCAACCATACCGAAGACCTATAACCAAGCCATCAAGTCAGCAGCAGCAGACCAATGGAAAGAAGCCATGGATCGTGAGATGAAGTCGATTGAAGACCTGGGAGTGTTTGAGTACGTGCCGGCGAACGCCGCAACGACCAAGATCATCTCATGCAGATGGGTATTTGCCCTCAAGCCTGACAAGTACAAGCCTCGCATCGTCGCAAGAGGATTCGAACAAGACGACAACCAAGTGGACGACGTGTTTTCCCCTACGCCCTCCTACCACATTGTTCGATCAGCGTTTGCCCTGGCGAATCAAATGAACCTGGAGATACATCACATGGACATCAACACAGTATTTCTCAACGCCCCGCTGGACAAGCCTGTCTTTTTGCGGTGCCCACCTGGATATGAGAAGCCCGGCCATGTTGTTCGTCTACGGAAGGCATTGTATGGCCTCAAGGAAGCCCCGCGCACATGGTACATCACTCTTCACAACCAGCTACTCGACAGAGGGTTCGTTCGCCACCCTCAGAAGCCCTGTGTGTACCTGCATAAGGACAACAACATTTTTCTTGTGGTGTTCGTCGACGACATTCTCATCGTCAGCGACCAAGAGGGGGTCACCTGGTTCAAGCAGCAGCTGTCGAGCGTGTTTGCGACGAAGGACCTGGGCGAGGTTGACATCTTTCTCGGCCTCAAGATCATCCGCGATCGTCAAGAAAGGACCCTGCAGATCACACAGCCACAGTACATCGACAAGATGCTGAAGAGATTCAGCATGGAGAATGCGAACCCGGTGGATTTCCCTTATGCGTCCGGTATCCAACTGACCTCTGAGATGTCACCGAAGACGGACGAAGAGAAGACGAAGGTGAAGAAGGTTCCCTATCGGCAACTCGTTGGCGCATTGATGTTCTGCTCGGTCACGTGCCGCCCGGATATCGCCTATGTGGTCAAGGAGCTTGCACGATATGCTCATGAGCCCGGTTTTGGGCATTGGCAGGCAACAAAGAGGGTTCTTCGCTATCTGAGTGGGACAAAAGACAAAGGGATCGAGTTCAAGGCTGAGCC